GAGACGCCCTCGAAACTCTGGGCCCTGGAAGGGAGGGGAAGGTCGGGGGAGAAGCCAGACCCCAAATAACCATTTCATTCCACATCTGTTGTCGGATTGTGCTCTGGGAGGGGCCTGGGCGCCACCTGAGACATCATCGGAACTCTGCGTTGCAAGATGTCTCGCGCGAGGTTGACCAGCCCGTTTGGCCTGAGACACCCTCGCAATTGGAAGCTCCCATCCTCGAAATCCATGGCTTGGAGAGGGAGGGGGAGTCATGCCTATGCGACCACTCTGCGGGCGATGGGGAGTTTTTTTTTTTTGGGGGGGGCGGCAATGGGCAACGGTGGCGATTGTTGTTCTGACGATGCCAATGGAGATTGTTGCGTTGCCGCTCGCTCTTGGGAGCTCTGGTGCCTTCGCTATCGGGCGCCTTGGTGCCGCCCCTTTCCCCCGGGAGCCTGTCCAACGGCGGCGAACGACGACGGCGGCTTCTATGTTTGAGGCCTCCTGAGGCCCCGCTCGTCGCCGCGACTTAAACCGCCTCGAAATATTGCTCATCGGCGGACCCTCGGCGGTCGAGACGTCGCACCGCCGTGGCAACTATTTTTTCCATGCTCTTTCGAGCTCGCGCCGACATCCGAGGGCGCCGCTGGCCGAAACAAGGTAAACGGCTGGGAAGCCGGCGAAAGCGCGCCTCATCTGGTCAGGGAATACGGAAGCGCTGGCAAAGCCCGGCGCAGCCCGCACCCCCTGCACTCACTTCTTGCACGGCAAGGTGGCTTGGCACCCCGCGCTGCGCCGAGCGCCGGGCAGCGCCCGTGCGTGCCGCGCGCAGCGAGGCGTGGCGGGGCTGCGACGCGCTGGCAAATCTGGCGCGGGCGCCCGGCGCCATCGCGATTCCTGCGACAGATCAACATAAAACGAATCATTGTTGTCCATGCGAACAACGACGGTCGCGTTCTCTGGCCCATCAGAGGGGGTCGCCCACTGCGCCGGCGCCGTCGGCGGAGTGAATGGGGCGACAGTGATGCGGATGCCGAGCTCCAAGGCGGCTGACATCACGACCAACTCGCCCGCGCACTCTAGTTGCCAGCTTCTGCGCCCAGCGAGCGCGCAGCACCTAGGTGCGCACGGGCCCCCGGACATCCAGGCCAGCAAAGGCCGGGTAGATGGTAGATTATGTTCTTCCCATCGGCTCTGAGCAGCACGGCGGCTTCGCCGCCGCAGAACCGGGCCCGCAGAGCTCCCGCCACCGCGCCCAGAGGCGAGTGACGCGCGCCGGCGTTGACACACCGCTGCGCACCCTGTGTCGTCAATTGGCCCGCCGCTCGACGGGCTGGATCGTTGCCCAGCAAGGCCCAAGCCAAAACGTCCGGCCCGCGTTCGGCCGGGCCCGCTGCGCGGCATAGCCAGAAGCACGCGCCCGCGGTTCGGCCCGCACACTGCTCCAGGTCACAGACACGCGCGGCGAACTGCGGCTCATTGCGCGCGCGCTGCGCGCGCGGCGCCAGGACTTCGCTACCCCCCAACACTTCGCAGTCCAGAGCACGGGCCGTCTTGGCAGCGCGGCGGCGGAGCGGTTCCAGCGCGCCCTACTTTGCGCGCTGCGCGTCCGGGCCGTTGAGCAGGAGCACCAACGCTTGCCGGAACTGGAACGACGTCTGCTCCAACGCACGGGCGATGTCAAACTCGTTGAAGCCCGCGTCGATCACGGTCGCCGCCGCGGAATCCGCGGCCGCGGCCTCCGCCTCCGAAGCCGCGGGCCCCGGGCTACCCGTTCTTCCCGCGGGGTGGCGCAGCCTTGCCCCGGTTCTTCTTCCCCCCGCGGGCTGGCGCAGCCTTGCCCCGGTTCTTCTTCTTCTTCGGTCTCTGTGCGCGGGACGAGGCCGCGATGCGCCGCGGGCCCGTGGCCTTCCGGCCCGATTGCTCTCCGCAGTGCCGGGGGGCGCTGTCGCCGATAGGCGCCGCGCCCGCCGCGGACAGCATCGCCCGCAGATCTGCCAGCTCAGCGCCATTACCGCCCCTGCGCGAGCGCGGCGGCCCGTCGGCGCTGCTCGCTCGCAGCCAGCGGCGCTTCAGGAGAAGTGCCTTCAAATTCCGCTCGAACAGTCCGGCAAACGCGGCGCCTGCATGCCCTGCTCTCGAACTCTGCCCCGGCGAAGAACTCCTTCGTCGGGCGCGCGGACAAGTCTGTCAAGGGTGGGGGCTTGTGAAACGCCATAGATTCTCCGTTCGCGACGCGGGCCCAGGCCGCGATGGCCGCCCCGAACTTGCCCGCCGGGTTGGGTCTGCGACATCCAGCAGAGGGCGCGACGCAGCCCTCGCGCGCCGCGATGCCCTGCGACTTGCGGACGGTTAGCGCCCACGCTAAGCGCGGGCACGCGGGGGCGAAACAGCGACTGCAAGGTCCTGCGTCGCACCTCTGCGCAAGGGGGCCAGTGCCCGGGTCCTCGGGAGATTGCCGAAACACGCGGGGCCCATGCACGCGGGGAAACCCACGAAGCCGGGAACTGGGCAACCGGGCCCCCCCCCCCCCCCACGGGAAACGCTCCGGAAACGCTCCGAGGGCGGAGCTGGGATGGCCGACCCCTGCGAGGGCACTCTGGTCACTTCGCTGCCCCCCTGGGGGGGCGAGCGCGATGGCGACCGCCGCTCCCCGAGCCGCACTCGTGAGCCCGAGGGGCGCAGCGGGGGCGCCCCATAAAGAATTTTGCGCTAATTACCATCACCCGCGCCCCCACGCGCTGGTGGAGCGCGCGGGTCGGTGCATCGTGCCTCTGCCCTCGCGACGACGCCCCCCGCGCTGGCAATGCCTGGCGCGCCGAGAATGGGCGCCCTGGCTGCCGCTTGCTCGCCGTTGATTTTCCCGACAGCTTGGTTCTCCGGCGCGAGAACCAGACCCTCGCGGACGAGAGTCTCGCCGCCCTGCCAGGGGCGCGGGCAGGCAGACTGAAGCTCCGAGTCACTCATCGTGTCCAACTCGCGGGTCTTCCACAGTGCGCAATCCTCCGTTGTGGTCGCTGCATCTCTGAGTCTCAGAATCGACTCTTTGAACGCATCGACACCCTTCTGGCGGTGAGTAGGACGCAAACGTGAGACGTCCTCAAATTTGGTGAAGGTCTTCTGGCCAGCCAGCGCCATGGCTCGAACAGTCGGGCCGCCCGCCCCCTTCCACCCTTCCCGTCCTTCGTCCCATGGCGCTTCCTCTTCCGCACCTCCTTCGCTCCCTTCGGATAGGGGTTGGCCTCCACCCCTTACTTCATCCCCTGGATCTGGACGGGCGGGTTCGGGAGGCGTTGGAGCGTCCAACATGGCCGAATACGGCTCCAAGAGATTCCCGGGGAACTCAAGATGGCCTCCAACATGGTTCAAGATGCCTCAAAATGGCTCTTCCCAAGGTCCCCCAAGTCTCCCCGAAACCCCAACTGGCCAACCCAAACCCCGAGTGGCCACAAAGATCTTTGGAAACACAGGGACCTTTAGCACCCCCGGTGCTGCCAGCAAGTTCGCCCTGAACTCCTCCCGGGTCAGCAGGCGCTGAGGATGGAGCTCCACCACGCCGGACAGGGAATGTTCGGAATACCCGCATCGTTGCGCGAGTTCGCGCGAGCCCGGGTATGCTGCCTCTGTCCCTGGGGCTGGCAAAGCCTGGCCCTGGGACACAAGCGGGGCACGTCTGAGCATGCGGGTGGCACCGGCCATGGGGGCGGCACCGGCCGAAGGTTCGAACGGACTCGCCGAAGGCATAACCGCGATTGGCTGCGGTCCGACGGCGGCAACGACGGCACAGCATACAGCACGGCATGACGACGCAGCGCGGCACAAGGCCCTGGGAACGATTCAAGAGCTCCCAAGACCCAAGGGAGCCTTGACCAACGAAATCAAAACATTTTTCGTTCATTTGCAAGGGCGGGGCACTTATACGACCACCCTTCGGGTGATAAGGAGGTGAGGGGGGGCAACGTCGCACTCGATCGATCTCACATCGATCCCACGATCAACCTCACTCGATCGATCCCACCCGACCGATCTCACAGTCGAGATCACGATCGATCTCACGATCCATCTCACAATCGATCTCACAATCGATATCACCATCGATCTCACTATCGATCTCACAATCGATATCACCATCGATCTCACTATCGATCTCACCATCGATATCACGATTGATCTCACTATCGATCTCACGACGAAACACCGACGGGACACCGCAGAACACCGACGGGACACCGGCGGGACAACGGCGGGACACCGCGCGGCCAAGAACGCCGGGTCGCCAAACATTTGGTCCGGTTGCGCCTCAGCCACAGGAGATGCTCCTCTCGCCCGCCCATTCAGCTCTCCCTCGCCCGCACGCGCGTCACGCACGAACGCGAAACCGAAATCGATCTCCCGGTAGGGGGGCTATCCGTTCCACTTCGATCTCACCCCCCAACCTCCGATTCAAACAAATGATGTGATTATACATATGTTGTCGAATTGTACTCTGGGAAGGGTTTGGACGCCGCCTGGAAATTCCTGGCCGAGATGCTGCGCGCGAGGTGGTCTGGCGCGTCTGGCCTGAGACATCCTCGCAAACTCGTGGTTACCAGTGACAAAGGATGAGGAGGAGAAGGAGGAGGCCGAACACAAAAACGAGCGCTACGACGTAGTCGATAGGAGGAGGAGGAAGAGAAAAAGCAGAAACATGAAGATCTAGGATGGTGAACATCCAAATGGGACAACAAAGTACCGATACGGCTACTCCTTCAAGCGTGCGTTCCGACCAGATTTCGAAACGAGTCCAGCTGTGACGGCGAGAGGCGGGTGGCGGTATCGCAGTTTGTTCCTCTTCTGAAAATCAGGAATCGATGATGGAGAAGGAGGAGCGAGGAATATCGCAGATGGATGACAATCGAAGAGCAGGAGGAAGAGAAAGAGGAGGAGTGTCGAGAAAGATCGAAGAGGAGGATCGAAGATCGAGGAGCCTCGGCGACTGCTCTCAGTCTGGAACTTGGCCCCCCCAAAGCATGGGC